TTTTGAAATGTAAATATTTTTATCCCAAAGAGTCGTACAAGGATAAAAATACCTTCATTCAATTTGCCGGCATTCAGTAATAATATTATCTATTTATGATTTGATAACTAAGTAAAATATATAAAAATCTAAAGTTTATTTTTGATTAGCGTTCCATTTCTTTTGACCGTTCTTGAATACGCTATTACGCATTAAATTATTCAATATAAGAAAATTTTAAAGCCATAAAACCTTAACATACCATAAGTCTACCATCTGGTATATCCACCCCGCGCCTTTATTACATCATTTATTCTTTCAGGCATAGAATCAATTAGTTGATTACACTAATCAACTCCAATACTATTCCACACGATTTTAAAATTCTCCCACAAATCATTTTTATTTGAAGATGGATTTTTAAGGTTACGCAGACGTCTATCAACCTCGTTCCAATAGGATTCAAATCAGGAGATTGAGATGGCCCTAATAGATTGACCCCGAAACCATTCTTTGGTCAAATTAGCGGTATGTTTAGGATCATTATCCTGTTGATAAATAATATTATTTTTATCTAGTTCAAGTCGCAAAAGTGAAGGTAAAAGGCCACCTTCCATTATTTGTCTATATAGCTCGCCATTCATATTTCCTTCGATCCTAATCAGATTACCAATACCCTTAGTCGTCATACAACTCCAGACCATTATTCCACCACCACCAAATTTGACCGTTGGTATTACATCTCGATCAATTAAAAGCTTGCTTAGATTTTCTCCAACAATATTGTCTTCCGTCAGAGCTACATAAAGAAACTTTGACTCATCTGACCACACAACTTTTCTCCAATCATTAATTGTCCAATTGCAATATCGTTTCGCCATGCTAGTCAATTCTTTTTTAAGCAAGGCAGGAAAATGAGAAAAATAATTATTCGCCAAGGTTTCTTTTTCTTTACTCGTGCAACTAGCCCAATCTTTCTCAATATACGACGTATAGTTTCAACTGAAATATTTAGATTTAAGCTGGGAATGCACTTCTACAGCTGTTGAGCATTTGCCAGATGTAACCATAATGTCCATAAATGATACGCGGATGACCCGATTTGGGTTTATCATTAAAACTTCCAGTTGTTCTTTTTTGATATATTCGTAGAACTGATGATGGGCTAACATTTCCATTTTAGCAATAGTTCTAGTTGAATAACCCTCTTTATAAAGGGTATATATACGAGAGCATTTTTCTTGTGATACATAAGGCATTGAAAAATAAAAAAATTATTAGAAATGATCATATTTGCTGTGACAACATTCTTATATATAAAAAAGTTAAACAATCAAATAATTACTTGCCTAAAAATCACAATGCCTTTGTCTCAAGATCAGTCAAAAGAAATAGAACATGAAAAAGGATAAAATGATTAATATCTAATTAACAAA